TCTTTACTATTTAATGAAATATAAACTAATCATGAAATTATTTTTAATGTGGTATTAAAAATAGGTTTTGATTTTGAGACTTGTGAGTTATGAGTCCATTGCGCTTCTACGACGTCACGAGAAGTTCACTGAATTTTATCATGTAGAGAATGCAAAAGAGATTTAGCGTGCATTATCCTTTGATCGATTGAAACTTTTTTTTCACGAGTTTTGGCTGCTGCTTCTGGTCACTCTCTTCTTCTTTCTTGATGAGTTTTTTTTCATATGTAGAAATTATAAACCTTTATGACAACGTAGTTTAATCTTAATATAACATTGTCATAAGAGAAAGTGGATAGTAAGACAGAGAGGTTCCATAGTTCTCGATCCATGAGGAAAAAAAAAAACATGTGTCTTATTATTTGATGACGATCCCTCGTGAATCAAAAATCACATGTTGTCCACCTCTTTGATGACGATGTTGTACTGAGACTAAAACATATTGCTGCAGAGGAATCTCAATTTACATTTTCTACATATGAAAATAAAACTCATCATGAAGAACAGAGTAACCTAAAGCAGCAGCGAAAACTCATGAAAGAAAAGTTTCAGCTTGATCTAAGGATGATGCATGCTAAGTCTCTCATGCTTCCTCATTGAACTACTATGAATGGGAATGCCGATAGCTTGATCAACCTCATATTCTCTTGACTGAATCTTGTGTTTCGAATACAATACAATATGCTCGTGAAGTGTTCCTTCTTGGGGGAGTTTCTTTCACTCTCATATCGATTTAGAGAAGATGGATAACATTCAAATAAAATGGCCAAGATGAGGTATGCAGCCTGTTATGAAGTTCTATCTTGTCGGCTAAATATTGCATGAAAGAAGGTTTATGTGTATACAAAACCTATACCCAGTATATTATGTTGTTTGTTGGTTAGTAAATGTTCTTTTTTTATTTTGTTTTTTAAGTTCTTTCTACTGTTATTTAATTTAGCTCTTCCTCGCCATATTATAAGTTCAAACAATGTTGCAAATTTATGTTTACCTATTGATATATAAATATATATATATATATATATATATGAGTTTTCAATCATGCTAAGAATGTTGATTCTGAATTTATGAATTTGGGCTTAAATGATTTCAATCATGTTGAGAATGTTAAAATACTATCTTTTCTTTTTTTTATAAAAGATTATGAATTTTTTTTTTATAAAAAATTATGAATTAAATTTGAATTCTATATTTTAATGTATTCTTAGGAAAAAATTATCATATTATTAATATGTATGTATATAATTTAATTAATAAAATATATGTATTTTAATTAAAAAATATTATAATCATTAAAATAGTCGAAAACCTCAAAACTCACTGGAAATCAATTCAAGTAATTCAATTGCCATAATTATTTGTACTACAAAACTTTATTTTGCTAGTCCATACTCATCACTAATAATTTAACTTAAAACTCAGCTGTTAAATTAAATTCATAGTGTGAAATTTTTATAACGATATTCATAAAAATAGGATGCTATTAGTCCTATAATATATATATATATATATATATATATATTAATAACCCTTTGAATTTTGTAGAGTATCATCCGGTTAGTATAACAACCAGAAGACACTTGGTTTTGTGTGTGAGGAACAAGCCAAATCCATATATGGGAGGGTGAGAAGAAAATCAACATCCAAGAAGTATTCATCTGAAATTTTCAGAGCCACTATTTTTTTTTTTATTTGAGAAGTTTAGATAGGATAAGGGTTCAAAATTACTTATTTCCACACAAATTTCCTTTTTTTTTTTTTTTTTTTTTCTGGTTAAAAGAACTGTGGAAAGAAATTTAATGGGTTTATGTCAATTTTCTCATTTATCACTTCATTTTATTTTATTTTTATTTATCTTGTTAATGCGTACGCGTAGCCTATGATATATATAACATATACAACCTTTCTTTCCTGCTTTCTCTTCTCTCTGTGCCAAAGGAAGATATAAATGGAGTTCAATGCAGATATTAACCAGCGAATTGCAACAATCTCAGCTCATCTCCGACCTTCAACTCCGCAGGTTTTCATTTATTTTTTTCTGTTTAGTTTCAGTTCAATTAAAACAAAGAAATTTCAGGTCACCCAAATGGAATATGGTCAGGACTTAAACCATCAAGTTTTTATAGGGAATTTTGCGTAGTGGTATGGTAAATCTGGATACCCATTAGTCTATGGAATCTTATCAGTTTCTCTTTTCTCTGTGTCTTCCAAACCATTTTCTTATCTGCCAAACAAATACCCAGAACTTAAAAATTCGTTATTATTTCTGAATCTTTATTGAAATTTATTTTAGATGGAGGAAAGTTTCGGTGTAGCTCGTGGTGATTGCCGGTCAAAAGGAGGAGCTCCAGGGTTCAAGGTTGCTATCTTGGGTGCTGCTGGAGGCATTGGCCAACCCCTGGCAATGTTAATGAAAATGAATCCTCTGGTCTCAGTTCTTCATCTCTATGATGTTGTTAACTCTCCTGGTGTCACTGCTGATCTTGGTCACATGGATACTGGCGCTGTGGTAATTACCTTTTGTCATCACAGATTTTTACAGGCTCGTATGATTCAACACATGCATATATATATATATATATATTTCAACTATCCCTTCACTAAATGATTGGTGCTTTACGCGAGGTTATGGCTTCGAGTCGTTCTTGCTAGAAAGTTGTGAAATAAATGGTGGGCATATGTCAAGTAATTAATATAACAATAAGAATTTTCAGTTAATATATCTTGGGTTTTGGTATAGGTAAGGGGATTTCTGGGGCAGCCACAGCTAGAGAGTGCTCTCACAGGAATGGATCTTGTGATTATACCTGCTGGTGTGCCAAGGAAGCCTGGAATGACAAGAGATGATCTTTTCAACATCAATGCTGGCATTGTCAGGACACTTTGTGAGGGAATTGCCAAGTGCTGCCCTAATGCCATCGTTAACTTGATAAGTAATCCGGTGAATTCTACTGTTCCGATAGCAGCAGAGGTTTTTAAGAATGCTGGCACGTACGATCCCAAGCGGCTGCTAGGAGTTACAACTCTTGATGTTGTGAGAGCAAACACTTTTGTGGTATCTATGCTTCTTTCAATCAAATTTTTCATGGTTTTTGATATATGTATGTTACATTATTAATTGCATATTAATATAGTATGAGAAGTTATAATGATATACATGTATTATATTCAGCCCGAGGTTGAGCGAGTATTAGAATTTGTAAGGGTTTTTATGTATATATTCAACTCTATCACTCACCAAATGGTTCCTAGAGAACTAAACTAGTTTTATACTTTTCAATGTTCATCATAAGTTACTTCATGTAATATGCTCCTGACTACCTTGCAGGCAGAAGTTCTTGGACTGGATCCAAGGGAAGTTGATGTTCCAGTGGTTGGAGGCCATTCTGGAGTCACCATTTTGCCTCTTCTATCTCAGGTCTCAAATAATCATCTTTCAATGAGTCTCCAAGATTGTTTTTAGTTGAAAGCAAATCCAGTTATATGCTTATGTTTTTCTTTTTGAAGAAGAAGCTGTTGTTAGATGTCTATCCTTGCAGGTTAAGCCTCCTTGCACCTTCACTCCAGAAGAAATTGATTACCTGACAAACCGGATTCAAAATGGCGGAACAGAAGTTGTCGAGGTAAAATAAGCTTTTTATGTCAGTATGATATATAGAAAATCATATTCCTTTCTTTACCTTATTTCTTTCTCTTGACTTGAGTTGCATGCAGGCAAAAGCTGGAGCTGGATCTGCTACACTATCAATGGTTGGCCAATATTATCTTGCTCTTCTTTCATTTGCACATTGCATTTGTAAGCTTATTTGCACAAGCAACTAAGGGAAGCATTACAAAAATTTTCCAGGCATATGCTGCTGTTAAATTTGCAGATGCTTGTCTTCGCGGAATGAGAGGAGATGCTGGAATTGTGGAATGTGCATTTGTGGCTTCCCAGGTACTTGTTTCAGTCCTCCAATTTGTGCCATGTTCTTCCAATTATCTGGGTTTGTTTTTTCTCTGAGTAACCAAGATAGTCTTTTGTAGGTGACCGAATTGCCTTTCTTTGCGTCAAAGGTACATCTTGGTCGAACTGGAGCTGAAGAAGTCTATCAACTCGGACCCGCTAAATGAATACGAGAGGTGAATATATATGTATAAATGTGTATGTCAAAGAAATGCAGCATAATAAATGTATTTTTCCTTTTGATTGATGATAGCATTTTGCACAGGATTGGTCTGGAGAAAGCAAAGAAAGAGTTAGCAGGGAGCATTCAGAAGGGAATCACATTTATCAAGAAATGATTTGATGTCTTCACCATCGAGTCCTTCTACACGTCTCTTGGAGGGCTTTGTATATCATGTATTTCGCAAGTAGCAGTTTCATGTTGCGTCTAAAACTAAAAAATCTGTGAGAAACCATTCCCTCAAACTGATGTAAAATGACCGCAAAATCATATTTTGATTTCTTAAATGGACACATATCTTATATACAGTGCGGATTTATAATTATAGAGACACCCCATAACTAGACAGATTAAAAAAGGAACAGGAAAAGGAAAAAGAAAATTTTGGGTTTACAGATTATCATATTTAAAAGAAAAAGAAAACTGTTCTCCCCTTGCAATTCTAGTAACTCCAAAATTTGAGTCCCAGAAACTGTATTGATTCATAAGGTTAAAGGGTTGGGAGGGGGATGAACCATAGGTGTGGTGGACAGAGTAACATTTCCAGAAATTACGTTATGTGCCACAGTGTCCTCAACAACAACTGGATCAACTTGCATCACCCTTTCTGGTACAATCTTCTGACCATCAACCTTAGCCAGTACCTCAAAATGCATTCTTACTGTTTCAGGCTTTGTCCTCCATGCTGGAAAACCCTCCCAGTTGACTCCATCTCCTTTCTTCAACTTCTTCTCAATCCCAAAACCGATTTTCACAAATGTCTGAGCTGATACATCTGCTTTTAATAATCTGAAAGAACCTTTCTCTTTGGCCTTAGGACCCAGAACAGAAGAAAGCAACGCCTCGAAACCAACCAAATTAGGGTTTGAACCATTGATGGAAGCAAGAGGCCACATTGTGGTGAAGTGTTTGGGAGTTAAAATCGTCGTGGCTCCTTCTTGAACATTCATTGTGGATAAGTCATCCACGGGTTTATTTTTTGAGATCGAAGATAGTTCCACAAGACCAGGTGCAAGGCGTTTAAGTTTAAGCTTGTTATCTGAAGACGATGGAGAGGAGGGTGCTGTAAGAGAGGTAGGGCCAACAATTCGCAGGGAAAGAAGTGGAGCTACTTGAGAACGGGAAGCATGTCGGAGCTGCTCAGCCAGAGTTAGAAGGCCAGAAGCAAATCCATTGTTAGTTCGGTTTAGGGGAAGTGGGAGGTCAATCGGGTGGCGCAGGCTAACAGTTCTGGCACCTTTTACAGTGACCACAGCACCATCAGCTAAAACTACTTTCTTCAAGAGGCCAGCATCCACATCATGCTGCAGAATTTAAGCAACAAAAAAGTTAATAATCATGTGGAAGTACCAGAAAACAAAGCTCTTCTATGAAAATTGTATAATATATCAGACAGCAGTTCTATTTCTTGATGTGGCAAGACAAAGCAATACTACACTAACAAGGAGATAAAATAACTCAGTGCCTTAAACATAACCTCACCCGTTTCAAATTCAATCAAATAACCTTTAATGATTCAATCAAACAAAGAGGAAAGAATTACTCACTGGTAAGGAAAGGCGCATATCCTTGGCATCCTGGATCCAGATCTCCATGGGACCAGCAAGCTGAAACGGAGCCAAAACCGGCAACCCACGATCGGATTTATGCTTCTCTACCAACCCATGTTCCTCTCCGGGTCTGGCAGGTTCCTCCGTGCGAAAAATGGGCAAGTCAACGTACTCCCATCTATTCACGTCCTCTAGGAGCTTGAACGGAAGCACCTTATTGTCTACTTCCACATCGAATTCATATGCCACAGAATGCCCCACCAGAGCATCTCTCATATCGAATCCGGAGATCTTGAAATCATCAGCCTGGAACCCCAGTCCCTTGAAAATCGCCTCCTTCAAATCCTAAAGTAGAAAATATAATTATCAGAAAAAAGAAAGAAATACCAGTATCCTTTCTTAGACATAAAGGAAAAAGAAATCACATGGTTGATTCTGTGTTTGGTAGCTACAAATTTTAAGCCAGAGAAACAAGTTTTCCAAAATTTCCTTCTGTTTCTACCACATTAATCAAACGGAGAAATTATGAAAGGAAAAACTAAAGCAGATCAAATTATTCAATTTTCGTTCCAAAATCTCAAGATGCTTCCTTCTGTACTTTAATATGAAATTACTGTTTGAATGAAGAATTAAAGATATTCAAATCAAAATAGTTTTGGTTTAGCAGGCGTTTCTCTTTAATTCTAGCAACAACAAAAAAAAACCCACTCCAATCCCCACCCCAATCCTCCTCTTGAACCTTTCGCCGTATTCTCAAGAGACAAACAGAAATTCGATGGTAAAAAAAATTACAACAAGATGATAAAAGGATACTTACAGAGATTGCTTTGGGATAGGAAGGCGCGGAGACCAAACCATGAGACGAAGACAAACTCGCAAATAAAACGAGAACAAGAGCTTGAACGTAAAACCCCGATTTGATAATCATCGTTCAGAGATTGTTGAAAAGATTTCAGATGAGAAAGAGAGGATAGAGATCGCTTTACACAAAATTCTGGAACTTGGGATTTTTGTTGATAGAAGGTGGAAGTGGGGGGAAATATTGAGGTATAAATCAGGATGATTCCAGAAGCTTAAAAATAAGGGGCTGAGGATCCGGGGTGATGATGACGTGGACAACGATAGCCAATGAAAGGAGAGTTACTGATCGCAGGACACTTGCTATTGGTTGCGCATTGTTGTCCTGGCGTTTAATGATCATTTGTATTCAGATGACGTGGGAAAGACGGTTGCTTTTTATGGGGCCCACAGCCGTTACCGTTTTAGCGTGGAGTTATTTCGGCGCGCAAGACCCTTGGCATTTCAGACGACATCGTTTAATAAAACAGCAGCATGGATAAAAAAAGGGTGGCGTCGCCCGGATTCGAACCGGAGACCTTCAGTGTGTTAGACTGACGTGATAACCAACTACACCACGACACCTTTTTTTTCTCTCTGCTTTCAGATTATGTTATGATTCTTAAATCAATGTCTTATCCTAAAAAAAAGGGAACAAATGGCGTCGCCCGGACTCGAACCGGAGACCTTCAGTGTGTTAGACTGACGTGATAACCAACTACACCACGACACCATATTGTTAGCCCTGAAATGATTAATTAATTGTTGAAACAGGAAGGACATCATACTAATAAAAACATTGTAATTTCCCTGTGAAAATGAACATATAAATAAATTTTATTTCCATTACAGGCTTCTTTCTATATGCATCGCTTCAGACAGCTATTTATTAAAAATATAGTAAATATAATTTTTAGATATAACTAAATTGGATTGATTACGTAATTTAAATTTATTAAGTCTCACATGGAAATCTTAACGTGAATTAACAAGTGTATTAAGTGAAAAGCTAATACAAATAAAATTAAAAAAACTGAAGTGTATTTAAACAAAAAAATATAAATCTTTTTTAAAATAAAGTTAAAAGTATATGAATATACTAACTAATTTAATATTTTTTGAAAAATATATAAAATATAAGTATAGTAATTTAATTTGGGTTTAAATCACCTTTGACAACATACACTATACCTCTCTTTTGCCATTAATGATTTAAAGTCAAAACTTCTAAATAGCCTACTAGCCCTATTATATTTTAAAATGTCACATGTTGTTAGTATATATATATATATATGTGTGTGTGTGTGTAAATAGGAAGAATATTCAATCTTTGTCCTACTCTATAATTTAGTGGTGGTTGATCTTCTTTGATTTGTCACTTAACATCCTGTTCCAATTCCGGCCAGGAGTATAGATTTTACATCACTAATTAATCATTATGTTTTATCTATTATTCTAGTCGCTATTCAATATTTTATTTTTCTTTTATAAATAAGAAAGAAAATATTTTTAATATTAGTTCATTGTCTCAACTTCATTTTGACGAATTCAATTGGACTTTGATATAGTTGATGTTGTTATTTAGCTGAGTAAATAATATTAAGTTATATCTTGTATATTAATCTTATGTTATTTTGGTAGCATAAAAAATAAAAGTGCAAACTCATATTAAGAATTTCGAACGTATATATAAAGACCCAAAACTTTGAACAAATAAATCATAATTTAAATGCAAAAATACATAAAAATATTAGAGTTTACATTCCTTACACATAAATTAACATACCTAATAGGATTACAAAAATACATCTTTCACAGCTGTTTATAAAACAAAAAAAGTAATAACATATGAAAATAGTAAATAAATGTTGTAGGGCGGTTAACCTCCACTAACTCTTGGTAATATCAGAGGTGGCACCTACTCATAGCCCTCCTGCTGATCAAAATCTAGATTTTGTTCTTCTTGATCTGAAATGGTTAATAGGGAAGGGGGTAAGCTACACTAACCCAATAAGATATCACACTACTCACCGATACAGGAACCGAATATTGGAAAAAATCATAAAAGCAATCAATGGAGCTCTTAATTTAAGTAAATTCATTTATCATAAGAAAAATCATTTATTGCATACTTACCGTTGCGAGATTTTCAAAATCGACCTATAGAGACAATAACTCAATTAATATTATGATTTTATATTCAAGTGAGTAAGAATAACAACTATTTCTTTTTTATTTTACTTACTGGTATCCCAAGGAGTCCATAGGGGTGTCCCACTACACGTAAACCTAATATCTAAACGTATCAACTAACCGACAATTCTCATACCATCCCTCGATACCCCGTCCGGTATGAGGGTGAATCAGGTCATTCCCATGCCCCATCCGGTATGAGTGTCAATAATATTATCCCTCGATACCTCGTACAGTATGATGTAACATTCACGGTAGGGTTCCCTATATACCCAGTCTGTCCACAATCTCCTAAGATATCTAGTAAGACAACCATTTATTTATTCACATAACCAAATAATTTTTCATTTGCACATTAATTTTAAATTTCACAAATCAATCGTAAATCATGCAAAACAAGCGATATATGCATCAAAGAAGTACAACTGAATTATTTAACTATTTCAATATATTATCATGTATTAAAGCTGTAAAATTAAATAATCTGCTAAACAAGACAAATAAATAACTAACTTGTTTTGCTTCCATTAATGACTTGTAATTATTCTTAAAGTTTTCTAAATTTTATAAAATACCATATTATTGATTATTAAGCTTCAATTCTATAACAAGGAATCAGATGAGAAATTCTTAACTGAATCGGTGTCTAAAATATCGAACTTTCTACTGAGCCTACTGGCAGTCCCCAGGTATGCTGAATTTTCTTGTAGAGATTAAAATACGCTTCACGTACCTAAAAATACCCCAAAAATCTAAAATCAGTATTAAAAATCCTTTTAAGCGAATTTTGGACGGCACCATCACCTGTGAGGGCGATTTGCCTCAGCCTAGCCGTTTTTGGTCAGTTTTGGCAGATTTCAGCTAACTTTATACATATCCCTTCGAAAAAACACATTATGGGGCATCGGTTCACTGAAAAAAAAAATCAAAAAACAAAAACCTACTGGTGGTGGAATTTTCTGGGTGCGACGGCTCCATCCATTCACCTTCGCGGTTGAGAGTTTTTCTTTGGTCAATTTATAAAAACTAAAACGGTGACACAACGGTAGAAAAATCTCACAAAACGAGAAACGAAAGGGGGCTCATCAGAGGAGGTTGTGGTTTTGCCCGCAATTTTCTGTTCATCCGCCATTCGTTTTGCTCCAATATGGCCACAGTGGTGCTCGAAATCGAATTTCGAATGCGTAGAAGAAATTTTAGCTTTTTAGCAGTCGGAGGTGCCTCCGATCCAGCAGCAGTCGGCGGTCGGCTCCCTTGTCTGACGACTGGTTCTTTTTATTTGGTGGGTAAGGTTCGGATTCAGTGTGATGTGAAATATTTATATTCATCTCGCGTTAATCTGTACTGTTCATCGTGTTTAATCTCGACCATTTGATCTTGCCTAAAAAGAAAACGAATCTGAGTCGTTCATCGCGTTTGATCTCGATCGTCCAATCATGCCTAAGAGAGAACTGGATCCAGACCGTCCACAAGCGAGAGATCGGTTCTGGGTCGTCCGATCGTGGGCCATGCGGATCGCCAGCGTAGCCTCCCGCGTAGCACCTAGTCAACGTGCCTTCCCACACGACACGCTCTGATTCGTCAAGGCTGCTGATTGGGCAGTCCTACATGACCAAAATTTTCTTATTTGCATTCTAACCTTCAGTTTTTTATTTTTCTTTCAAAAACACGATTTGAACCCAAATTTTAACCCCATTTTTCCAAAATTATTTTTAATTTCATCCCTAACCTATTTTTTTCATAATTGTACATTAAATTAAAATTTATTAATTTTAAAAATATATTTTTTATACATTTTAGAATGTTAAAATTAATCACAGGCCAAATTTCGAGCTCCGGTATTACAACTCTCCCCCTTTAAAAGAAATTTGGTCGCTCAAATTTGTCTCTCTTTCGCTCAATCAAACAGTTAGGGATACCGAGTTTTGAAGTCTTATTCTATCTCCCATGTGGCCTTTTTCGGTGTGTCATTTTGCCACAAGACCTTAACGAACGAAATGTTCGATTGTGGAGTACTCTGCTATTTCAGTCTACAATATCTACTGATACCTCCTTATAGGACATATCTTCTTTGAGTGAAAGAGGTTCGTGGGCCAAGATGTGAGAGGGGTCGGAGTTGTACTTGCGTAGCATGGACACATGAAACATATTATAGACTCTAAATAGTTCTAGAGGTAGTGTTAGTTTGTAGGTAGCGGTACTAATTTTATCTAAGATCTAAATTGGCCAAATAAATAGGGGATTTAGTTTTTTTCTCTTGCCAAATCTACTGATTCCCTTGAAAGTTGTGACTTTGAGGAACCTTCGATTACCTTTCTCAAATTCTAAATCTT